CGATCCATATACTATCCTGGTGTCGGAACGTGACACTCCGATCCTCATATACTATCCTGGTACCGGAACGTGGCACCCGATCCCCTAATCTCATTACTTTCGTTCATAAAGCCTTCTTTTATACCAAGGCATCATCATTAACAAAGTAGATTAGGGTTTTTCGAGATTTAGGATTCAATAGCTTCATCATGCTTATTTTATCACAATTATATAATCACATTCATGCAAGCATACAATTAAGCATATAAAAGGGTTTACAACACTACCCAATACATATCATTCGCTATTAAAAGTTTACTACGAATAGCATAAAAACCATAACCTACCTCCACCGAAGATTCGTGATCAAGCAAGCAATTTCCCAAAGCTTCGTTTTTCCTCTCTCTCGATCAATCGTTCTCCCTCTCTCTGTTCTTTCTGTTTTTCTTATTCAAACCCTTTTTCTTTTACCCTAATTAGCATATAATTAAGTATAAAAGATGATGAATTAACCCATTAATTAATTTAAGGTTATCTCTTTTAACCCTCAAGAGATTGGATTATTACTATTCAACCACTAACTTTATAATTATAATCAGGAATAGTCCAAAACGCCCCTTAAAACATTTAACAGAAATCCGACCCTGCCTGGGATTACGTAGCCTGTGACGGGCCGTCGTGCTTGTGACGGGCCGTCGTGCCTGCGACGGTCCGTCCTGCTGAGTCGTCACAGAGTTCAGAGACTCACTTTTTATTTAAGACCCTGTGACGGCCCGTCATGCCTGTGACGGTCCGTCCTGCCACTTCGTCACGAAGTTCAGAGAGTCGATTTCAGTATCCAAATTTCAGAATTCTAAGTGTTTTGGAACAAGACCCCCTTGACGGTCCGTCGTGCCTATGACAGTCCGTCGTGGGATCCGTCGTCTCAGCCAGTTTTTCCAGAAATAAAATCTGCTGCTCAAAACGACTAAATAGGTCGTTACACCAATGTTGTGACTTATTTAAAGAAGGGCTTGTGAGAGTTTTTAGGCAGATTACTCTTGTAAAGACTTGAAGAAATGCATATTGGAAAATTTGCATTTGCCTGCGAACTTTGGTTTTCGATTTGGCCCCGTTGCTTGGCTGTTTTAGTGAATTATTTTGGTCGTCTTGTTGATATGCCTTTGGGTGATCGTTTGATTGTTTAGACTGAACATTTGAAGAGTTGTGCAAGCATTCAAGGCTGTCCCACAAGGTTAAGAAAATAGACCCGTGACATAGCTAGTATATTGGTTATGAATTAATATAGGTGAATAGCTTCGGTATATATTATGTATTGTGTTAAAAATCACTTTAATATATTTAAATACATGATAATTGATATATAACAGTAAATTTATATGTCTTGTACTAATTATGTTAAATTAAAAGATCATATGTATAAAGAATGAAGGTAATGCCATCTTCTTTTATTAAAAATACATATAGGTTTTGTCAGTGTAGTTTAAAATTCCAAATATCTTAATATAATTTGAAACAGTACGAAAGGTTAGGAAAAGTATAAAAATTTATAATAATAGAGCATAAACTAGTATCACGCCCGTTTGAACATCTTATATGAAATAGTAATTTGATATTTAAGTTATACTAGTATTTATCTACCAAATTATTCTATTTAGGACTTGGTAGGCAACACTAATTAGAATAGTTCATTGATTAAAATTTAGTTCATCTAATATATTGTTTGGCTATTTTATTTAACTTAATTCACGTGTTAGTGTTACATCATATGTGATCTTATTTATCGCTAGAAAGTGAAGGAATAAACTAATCTAAGGTTTATCAATCTTTGGACAGGACTCCTTAATGATTAAACTATCCTCCTAATCCTTTTTCTAAATTTCTTTTGTAATTGATTTGGTTTGTTATTTATATTGGTATGGTTTTAAATGTTCTTTTTAATTCTCCATAATTTGATTATTTCACTTTTTTTAAAAAAAATATCTCTATTGTATAAAAAAATTCAATGTATTTCGTTAATTAACTATGTGAATTATTTTTTTAAAAAATAAATTTTAGGTATTGAAAAATTTAAGCAACATTAAATCTATGTAAAATTTAAGATTTATTTAACTAATAAAAAAATAGAAATACACTGTGTTATCAAGAATCTCCGTAGTGATACATCACACTTCAAAATTAACAACAATGATATATATATATATATATATATATATTATTGTTATCTACCTAACAAAAAATAATATTGTTGGGCGGTTATCTACCTTGCTCCAATTACATGATTAAAGAATTTCATAATAACCTAATAATGTAATGGGAAAGAATTTTATTTTAAAAAGTTTTAAATTAAACACAAAATTAAGTAAGAAACACTAAACCATACACTTGGAAAAAAATAATGTAACTAATCTCAGAGTTGTTAATTCATGCATTACTAGTCTTTGCGTTCATAATCTATGCATTACTAATCACGACATAATCAATATTTATATCAAACGATCCCTTAATAACTAATGACTATTTACCTTTGTTATTCATGCCGAATGTGGAAAAAATAATATTTTTAATAGGTAATAATTCATTTGAATAAGTAAAACGCTTTAGTATGCCGCAGTTGGTCTATTGTTTTTGCCCATATTGTTATTTTGTTCTTGTTGATTATTATTCTTATTAATTATGTCATAAAGTTATTTTTTAACAAAACGTGTTAATTATAAAAAGGAAACACACACTAAAAAGTACTAAATAATTCTTCGAACTCATTAATATAACAGTTAAATATTCCTTCTAAAATTTATGACCAAACAAATAGTAAAACTTCATCGAAAAAATAGCTTATAAAAATATTTAAACTCAAATGCTAGCGTGACATAATTTTTTCTCTCAAACATAAAACAAAATATAAGAAATCAGGGTAAAAATAAAAGTTTAACAAATTTCCCCCTTGACCTGACTTTCTAACAAAATAAATTTGTCCATCTTCTTCACATAATCTTTAGAATCTTGCATCTCTTTTCCATAATCTCCTCCATCAAATCTATGTCTCGTTATAGAGAACTTTTCTGAAACATTTTTTCCAACAATTTTTTTTATTATTGTCAAAAAGATTGCGGCTAGAACTACACCCTTAGAATGAATACCCATCTATAACATGGCTCCATCATTGAACCATGACTCTGATAGCATTTGTTGGGATCAAAATAAGTAGGTATAATGCGGAAAGTAGCAAATCAAACATCGAAAGACCACGACTCCATGAGTAAGAAGGCAAACGAGAAAAACACTAAAAGACAAAAAGATTTAAAATTGTTCGATCAATCGACCTACATCCATAAATAAGGAACAAAAATAAACATTATCAAAATTTCCATACCATATACATATACTTCATCCGTTTAATAAAGAATGACATAGTTTCCCTTTTAGAGCCTGTTTGGCTCAGCTTAAAAGCTGGTCAAACTGACTTAAAAGTTGGTTTTTGATTTATTAAGTTGTTTGACAACATTCAAAATAACTTATTTTAAGTTAAAAAAAACTTATTTTAAGTCAAAAGTTAAAAGCTTGGGTAGGGGTGCATTTTTTTTTAGCTTATAAGCTGTTTTAAGTTGACCACATTTTTATCTTTTTGCCCTTAATATTTTTATACAATCTCCAATTACCCACATAACCTAACATCTCTTTCTTCTATTTTTCCCTTTTCACGTTTGACATAACAACTTCAGCACTTTTATCCAAATGCATAACTGCTTATTTTAAAAATAAGTTTCACCACTTTCAAAAGTACTTTTTTAAAGTTGCTTTTATTAAGCCCATCCAAACGGACCCTTAATCTCTTTCAAAAGAATGATCCTTTCCTCTTTTGGTAAGACTTTAATTTCAATTGTCTACATGACATGTGACCACAAAATTGCAGGACATTTTGATACATTTAACATAATTTTTATTTATAACTACAAGATTAAATTTTTTTCTTTTCTTAAAAATCATTCTAAATTAAACTTGATCATTTTTTTAAAAATTGAGAGAGTATAACTTTATCAAATAAAACAAATTATAAATCATAATAAAATATAAAAATTTTAAGATAGGGGTATACAAATCGAATCATTAAGTCAAATCGAACCGACGAACCAAATCAAATCGAAAAAAACCTGACTCGTGTTTTGATTTGATTGGTTTGGCAATGGAAGAAAAAAACCGACCACTCTTGATTTGGTTTGGTATTAGAAAAAAAGAATTAAACCAAACTCAAACCAAACCGACACACACACACACATATATAAAACAAAAATTTATTTTATTTATAAATAAAAAATATTATTTATATGATTTAATTTAATTTTTATATTTGAGAAACCAACATAATAGGTTTATAAATTTTTTTTAAAAAAACAAACCGAACGACCTATGTAGTATGTACCCCCTAATTCTAGGGCACTGAATTGACCGGAGGTTTGCCCAATTTTAAAAGAAGAGCAGGGTGAAAAGTCAAAAAGGCAGGAGAATTAAAAAGGTGATGATGACTAATGAACCCATAAATTCTCTCCCTCTGAACTAAGATCTATTAATAATAATATAAAACTTCAATTTACATGAATTAATTTAAGTTGATACAAAATAAAAGAAAATATATAAAATTTATATTTTAAAAATAAATAATAAATATTCATATAGACTAAAAATGATAGTAATGACAGTAGAAAATAGAGTGAATAAATTTTTTCATTGCTTTTATATGTCTGATTAACTTCTTTTGTCTCTCCATATAAGTAGGTGCTTTTACAACATCACAACTCAAATAGAAAAGAGAGAGAGAGAATGAATATGGAGGTTATTGGTGATGGAAGAAGAATATGCAGAGAAAATAGTCCAGAAAGAGGGAAATCACAGAGCAACAGAGTAGTATTAATGAGAGCAAGTTTTAAAAAAGTTCAAGTTGTCTATTATTTATCAAGAAATGGACAACTTGAACACCCTCATTATATTGAAGTTACTCATCTTGCTCATCAACATCTTAGATTAAAAGGTGTAAATTTTTCACTTTTCTTTTTTGTTTTGTGATATAAATTGAAATTAATGTGGAAGTGCATTTTTTTTTTTTTGTTTTGGGAACAGATGTTATTGATAGACTTACTGTGTTGAGAGGCAGAGGCATGCCTTCACTATATTCTTGGTCTTGTAAAAGGTATGTGTGTAGATGTCCATGTTTTTTTTCTTCATTTTTAACATTTTAGTATTGAACCAATACTTTACGTAGGCTGAAATTTACAAGGCGAAGTGACATGATTGAGTATCAATTTTAATTTAATTTATTACAAGTTACAAGTTGTGTTTGTATTAATTGAAAATAAGTGACTTGAAAAACTTATCGAAGTAAGTGTAGGTGTTGGATTTGGTCATAGATTTCAAATTTTCTTTCTTTTATTTGAATTTTTTATGTAGTTGAAGATGGGTGTTTGTACTTCTTACCAAGGAGAAAGAAGACTTCTTTTTTGGAATTAATGAAGATGTAGTTGAAAATCAGGCTTTGAAGCATTTTTTTTCTCTCTAAAGTTTGGAATGAAACCCCAAATTGAATTTGAAAATCTATTAACCAAACACTAATTTTGAAATAAAGTGGGAAACTATTTTGGATAATAACAACTACTTTTTTTGGGTCTCAATTCAGTCCGCATGACTTACTTTTATCTTATTTGTTAGCCTGAAAAATTAACACATTTATATAATAATAAGTAACAATTAAATTTTAAAATACTCATTTATCACTCAAAATTATTTAGAACCACAAATATTAATCACTCATTTTAAACCATTAGTTTTAAATATTTTTATTTCTTTTTGAAATTTCATGTCTGAAGGGTAGGGGGTTTGTGCAGGCCAGTGAAATGGAATAGATAGGGTGCCACTAAGTTTGAAATATTGATGATAAATTAAATTATAAAATGAGACAGATATTATTTTCATGACCAAATGGCTCCTTATGTTTAATATTTAATAACTAACCAAAAATATTTTTAATGTAATCAAACAATATCTTTAAACACTTCACTGGTAGTAATATTAATTTGTTTGTTCCTTTGGTTGGAAATTTTATGGGAGCACTACGGTAGATAATATGGTACTAATTCTTGTAGGAGCTACAAGAATGGATATGTGTGGAATGACTTGGCTGAAAATGATTTCATCTGCCCTTCTGAAGGAGCTGAGTATGTTCTTAAAGGATCTGAAATTATTGAAGGTTCCACAGGTAGGATTAAAATTTCTTTTAGTTTGAAAATGAGTTGATGTTTTTGACATTTTCTAAATTTTTTATTTCAGAAAAATTTCAACAAATTCATACATCACAGTTGATGAGAAACGGCCAAGAGTCAAGACGCAAATCTGAAGTCCCAAAACGACATTCAGATGAGCCGCCAGAAATTGTTGAGAACAGCGACAATTACTTGGATGAAGAATTATTTGAAGAGAAATTCTCAAGCACACCCAATTTCAGTTGCTCAAGAGGTGTGATTTGTAGTGATGAGTTAAATCGGAAGAATAATTCTACGGAGTTAACTCACACAAAATCGTTATCTCCTCCTTCAACAACTTCCTCTTCGCTCTCAGACAAACCAATTCATAGCACCACTGAGGTCATCAACACTTCCAAAAGGTTCGAAGACGGTGACCCGGTGGTTACCGAGTCATTACTGAGTCGTAACTCGGTCCTCTTCCAACTCATCTCCTGTGGCGGATCTGTGTCGTTCAGAGGGGGGAAGAGTCCGCCGCACATTGCGAAGCAGCAACCGCCGTGCACGGTGGCGGGGGCGAGGAAGAGCAGTAGTAGCTGTGCTAGTTTTCATAAAGGAGTATTGTGCAAGGTGGCGATGAATGAGGTGGAAGAGATAAAATACATGTCGGAGAATCCACGATTTGGGAATTTGCAATCGGAGGAGAAAGAGTATTTCAGTGGGAGCATTGTCGAATCAATGACGACGGAGGAGAGAACAGCTCAACTGGATTCACAATTGAAGAAATCTTCTTCCTATAACGAAGAGAGGTCAGTTAAACTGAGGTTTGGTTTGTTAATTAATAATTTAAAATGGAAAGGAAAAGATCAAAAGTCCCGTGACTATGCAAGGACTATTTTGTGAATGTAAGGTCATTCATTTTACTAAAATAGTTTTAGAAACTTGTTACTACTTTGGTAAAAGTTCGTTTGTCTCAAAAAACTTTTTCTTATTTTAGGTGAAAAAGCTGTGTCTAAGTTGAAGAATAGACAGGCTTTAATATTTGGGTGTGATTTAATATGTAGGAGCTCAAAGGCAGGGCTAAGAGAAGTAGCAACAGAAGAAGAAGAAAAGGAGGAATTGAAGGCTGTAAAAGGAAAATGCATCCCAAGGAAAAAGTTTTCTTCTAAACACTCCAAAAAGTGACCTTTTTTCTGCTCTTTCAGATCACCAAAAGCTTTTCTTTGGGGCTTTTAGTTGGAACTTAGTTATAAAAGTACTGTTTTATGCTTAGGTTGTATTTTGTAACTCTTCAAACACTTCTTCTGGTAGGGTTACTAAAACTCATCAGAATTATTCAGGATAACTAAGGAAGTAAGGTCAAAATGTAGGATTTGATATTCATCACTTGCTCTCAAAATCTAACAACCTCAAGTTTTTTTTTTACATTCGGATGTTCAGTTTGCGGTGGAGTTCGAGATAAATTCGGACTGTGCATTGAAGGATCCTAACATGATTTTCTCGATACCTGAGGCTTGAACCTGAAATTTCTGATTAAAAATGGTGCAATCCCACTTGTATCACAACCGATGTTTGCACAACCAAAGTTTTATTTATTAGAGGCAATTTTATTTTGTTGTTTTACAAAAAAAAACAAACAACTTGTCTTACCGAAAAAATCATGTTAATTACCTCTACAGTTGAACCAAAGAGAAAAACTATCTTGTACTTAAGGTAATACTAGCTTGCTCTGTGTGACATATCTCTCACCATTAGTAAGCAAATTTCAGTTATTTCATCCATTTCGGATTTGGCTCCACTTCATTATCCCTTACCTCCATTTCTTCAAGTACATATTTAAATGAAAAACATGTATTTTATTTAAACTTTTAAGGTTAAAATGATACTACGTTAATAAATATTATACCCATAGTCTATCATTTTCTTTCTATATATGTTTTGATGGATAAAGTGATACGAGATTATGGTTTTAGAGTTGGGTTTAATGAATTTTCAAGTTGAGTAAAAAATATAAGGAAAAATAAGTTAAATACAAAACTATAAGTTTAGTATTCTCTAATTTTTTTTTCTTTTTTTAATATTATATAATTTTTTTTAATTTTAGTAGAAGTTTAGAGATACATAACCTTCTCTCTCCTATAACACACACTTCCCCAATATCATGCCTATTTTTTCTCCACTAAAACACTCAATCTTCTGAATCACTTTTTGAATTTTGAATTATTAATTTTAATTAAAAACGTTTCACAACATTTAATATGAAATTTCGAATTTCAAAATTCAAAAAATTTGAAATTCATGAAAATTGGACCATTGTTCTCTGGTTCTTCTTTTTCTTACTCCATCATCCGTCTATAGTTCTTCTTCTTCTTAATCCATCATCTGTTCTTATTTTCTTCTTGTTCATTGCTATATTACACCAGCCGTCTCTAGGTCTTCTTTTTCTTCTTACTCCATCATCCGTTTTTTTTGTTCATTGTTCTATTACATCATATTAATGGATCCTTTTACTAATAGAAGGATTTATGATTCGTACGATGAAAATTGGAAAGAAAATAGAAAAAAGTCTTTGCGTGATCCTATGAATGTTTGGAAGGATTCAAACAAAGATTTTGGCGAATCATCTAAATGAAAGGTTGACAAAAGAGAAAAGAAGCAGCAACCATTGTTGTTGAAATTAGTAAAATTTTTAGTAAAGGAATCCCATATGTATCATGAATTTTTGAAAATTGTTATCATGTATCAGACAATAAGTTTAATACATAAGTACTCAGTGTGTTATAATGTGTTAGTCGATGCATTGATACATGAATTAGATGTGTATCATATGATTTTCTATATATCAAGAGCTTTTGAAAATTGTTATCATGTTTCAGTCAATAAGTTTAATAACTGCGCCATCAAGTGTGCTTGCCGATACATATCGACTCAGTGTGTTATAGTGTTTAGACGATGCATTGATACATAAATTTGATGTGTATCATATGATTTTCTATGTATCACGATTTTTGTGAAAATTTTTATCATGTATCAGTCAATAAGTTTAATAACTGGATGTTCATAAAAATGTCTTCAAACTAGATGATATAATCTTGAATTTTTAAAATTTGAAATTGTTATCCAATTACGTGCTGAATTAATGCTTATTAATGAACTGTTACCGTAATTTAAGCTGATCTAGATAACAAATTTAAATGTTCCGTTTTCCCCCTTTTAATATTAACAATTTTAAGTTACTATGTATCATTTACCATTTATCACAACATATTAATGTATCACGCCACAACAATTTTAAGGGATTACCGCCCTGTGTTTTTTGGATCAAATCCGGTGACAATTCTCCACTCATGTCCTTCCAGAGCTGGGTAAGTGATCTTCAAGGGCATCTTCTCGATCCATTCTTCCCAGCGCCCCTCAATCAAATCCATAACTGCTGTTGTTTGTTCAGGAGTAACTAGTAAATACTAAATTTGTCGGAACAGAATGTAATTATTGTATTACACTATGAGATTCCTTAAATTTATACATTAATATACAAAAATTAAATAGAAGGTAAAATTTTAATTATATTAAAAATATATTCATGTAAGCGCCACATAAAATTAGGGGTGTGTACTATTTAGATTAAATCAAAAAATCAAACCAAATAAAATCGAATTTTAATTTGGATTGATTTTTTGGATTCTTGGTTTGGTTTTGGATTTATAATTTATTTTGTTTGTTTTTTTGGTTAGATTTCGAATTCAGAAAAATAAAAATAAAAAAACCAAATATATATATATAGAATTAAGTTGGAGTTCATCACTTTTGTCCCTTTTTAGTTATTTCCATTATTGACTTAGTTTATTTTCTTATGTTTGGACATCTATAACTGATATATTTTTAAGTATTATGTTTTACATTTTATTTGTGATTTATATTAAGAAGCATACTTAAGAAATTTAATATTATATATATAATTTTTTAAAAATTGCAAATAACTTTGTTATGTCTCTAATTATTGACATAACTGATTAACCAAACCGAAAAAATCCAAACCAAAAAGAGAAAAACCAAACCAAACCAAATTTATTTTGGTTTGGATTGAGTTACACTTCTTCAAAATCAAAAATCAAAAATCGAAAATCCAAACCGAATAGTTTTAAACTGAATCGGAAAATCGAATGCACACACCTACATAGAATAATAAAAGTGGTGACTTAACCAGGGGCGGAGGTACACTATACCCAGTCCAATTGGATAACGTTTGTCAGAAAATTACATCGCATATATAAGTAAAATTACATCTTAAATGATTAAATAACATATTTTGAACACCCTTAAACACACTAAAGTCTCCTAGCCCAACGGTATCTTGGATCAACGCATTGCAAGATGCGCGCACCCACATGTTTGAATCCCCGTTTTGAATAATTCAAAATAACTACTATCTATTAAAAATCTTAATTAGAAACCTAATTGCAGTTAATAAATATGTTTTTTTCCTAACAATTCAAAACTCATATTTATATTTTTTTAAGTCATTTTTTTCAATAAAATTTTAAATAAAATTTAAAAGTAATTATTTAATTTAAATTTAATTAGGAAATTCTAATTTTTTTTCTGTACCGCTACTAAAACTGAAAAGGGCTCTATATAGAATTTCTTTTTTATAAAAATTCATTTGATTTTACTCTTTATTTTTCATATCTTGTTGTTAAGTCGCCAAAGATTGGTGAAATCTCGAAGTATAAAAGTGATTTCATCGTAAACTAAATTTTCTCTTGCTCTTTTTCTTTTTTGTTCACTTCCTATTAAATAAACATGAAAATTCAAGTTAAATCTTATGTGGTTTGATTTTAAAAAATTTAGTATATTTTTTCATTGAAAAAATTAATTATTAATGTTATATAGTTCGATTTCAAAATTTTAGTGCGCCCATCGTCAAATTATTGTTTTTACTATGCAAATTTTGGACACCCTTCATGAAACTTCTGATTACGTCACTGAACTTAACTGAACTTAACTGACTAAGAATAAATATGTGCTAAGGATAAATGTAACCCTTTCTAAAAGTATTAGGCAAATATGACTATATTCCGTTAACTAAATACAAGAAAACAAAATATTCAAAATCTCTTATAAAATGACATAAATTTGTAATAAGACTGCAAAATTAAATCTATAAAATAAATTAATCCAATATTTCTTAGTCGTGATAACTTGTATAATTGCAACCTATTCATTGTTTAGCTTTTAAAAGACGTTTGTGGATTGAGAAATCTTACTTTTTTGCAAATAGTTTGCAAAAACTCCCAAAGGTAGGAACCTTTGAGATGGTATACATTGAAATTAGGGGTAAATTTCATAAATCATCACGTAATTATGATTTATTCTTCACTAATATCACGTAATTATATCAATTAACAAAAAATATATGAGAAGCTAACCAGTATCACAGCAACATGGTCATAAAGCTACTTTTATCACCGTAAAACATTTTGCTTTATAGTCATTATTCATAATGAATACAACTCAAAATCAGATTTACTTCGTTTTAATTTTATAAACAATCACATTCCTATTTCATTCCGAATCTCCATTAGAGTAGAATTATCTTCCATTGTATATCAAATCTCTAGACTTTTATGAGTACAATTGATTTGTAATCGTGTTGAAATAACTTCAATGAGATCTTGTAGGTCGTATTATTCTTGAGATGTATTTCATTGATTTTATAATTATTGTAAATAGTTTTTGAAATCCACGATTCAAAATGTCTTAACAGAAGTTGTGAAATCAATATTTTAAGAGAAATCAAAATATAAACAATATAAGAATTAGTCAAATAAATACAACGTATAATATACCCTACAAAAAAAATATAGAATTAGCTATAGAATTTCTTAGCAATCTCTTGTTGCCAATCTGTGTTATGAAATTACTGGTTGTAATAAATCATTCAGAAACATGAAGTAACTGAGATTTTTAGATCCAGTAAATAAGATGAACAGAAATTTATTTGTAAAAAATAATTTAATCTGTAAAACTTACCAGAATGTTGAATACTCTTTTATTTCTCTTTTTAGGAAGAAAATCAAGTCCACTGAATTCACAGTGTCCCCTTAAGGAAATTATTCCCCTCTAGTATCCGAGGTTTGATTTGGAATATAACCTCCCAGGGTAAAATGATCTTAATCAGTAGAGTGTAGGTACCAAAAACTCTACTGTCAGCGAATCAATCCACAGCTGGAAAGTACACGAAGAAATATATGTTTTTTAAGAAGAAGGAAGATCAGAAAATTCGTTAGGAAATATTCTGAATACTGAATGGTATTTATAGGCAAGAATAATATATTCTGAAAGGTTGCTACCCTTTCAGAATTGACACGACCATTAATGAAAGGTTGCAAACTTTCAAATGGTATTGACTGTTCCTAAAAGTT